TCTCTCTCTCTCTCTCTCTCTCTTTCTCTCTCTCTCTCTCTCTCTTTCTCTCTCTCTTTCTCTCTCTCTCTCTCTCTCTCTCTCTGTGTGTGTGTGTGTGTGTGTCATGTCGTCAACAACGTCCACGAGCACTGTTGCGTGGGCGACGACAGCCTCAATAGGAATGTGGGCGACAACACAAAACTGTGGATGTTGACGCCCACAACCTCACTTTAAAGCAGACGTCCTTGGCCTCTGCCTCAGTGCCTCCCTCTTTTTTTGGGTGAAAAAATGAGAAAAAAAAAATGATTGGCCATGTCCCCGCGCGCCTCAGCCTGGCACCCACTGCCGCGGCCCAGGGCAGTTTCGGAGGGCCTCCGAAACTGCTCTGGACCGCGGCAGCGGGTGCCAGGCTGAGGCCCGCGGGGACACGGCCAGTCATTTTTTTTTTCTCATTTTTTCACCCAATTTTTTTATTTTTTTATTTTTTTCAACAGCACAGCACCGCACCCACTGACCTGTTCCAACACCCCAACCCCTTAAACCCCCCCCAGCACCCCCCACAGGCCCGTAGCACGCTCGTACGGGGAGCGTCCGTACGGCCGTATGCGCATATGTACGTCCGTCCGTACGGCCCGTACGGGGCCCCCCCGTACGATGTACGTGCAACGACACAGTTTTTTCAGGCTCATGCAAGTTAATTTCACAAGTTTTTTTCTGTTCTGGGCATCTTGCCAGACCCCTTTTCTCAGGCTCATGCAAAACCAATTACACCAGTCTTTTTCTGTTCTGGGCATCTTGTCAGACCCCTTTTCTCAGGCCCACGCAAAGCCAATTACACACGTCTTTTGCATGTGTTTTTATTGGTAGATGGCACACCTTGCCCTCACTCAAAACGCGATGTCCCCATCGCGCGGCTGGTTCTCACCCGGAGGTACACAGACCTTTGGCCCGCCGACCGCAGTCAAGGACACAAGCCCATCCGCTTCACAAAAGGAAGAGTGATCAGTTCCTCCCCAGCGGGCGGCGCCTTATCCTCTTACTCGATCCGACCTTTTTCTATTACGTGGCGAACACCAATACTGAGGTTCTTCCTCATATCTCACAGGTAGGTCCAGTCTAAAACCTCCCAGGGCCTCGTCTAGCCGTAAGAGTTTTCCTCGCGAATCGTTCCTCCTAAGTGGTAGTTTTCTGGATCCGGCCTCTTTCTTTCAAGAAAGTTGGGGCTCTCTATTAGTCTGCGAGTGCAGTTATGAAGACCTCGCAATTAGTCCCGAAACGGTTGTAATGTTCTGGCAGGGCAGTGTCGATGCCCCGTGGTGGTGGCGGCCTCTACCCGGTACCTCGTCAGCCTCTCCCCTTGGACAGTGCCACCCAACTTAGCGCGGGTAGCCGAGGTCCGGCCCAAACGGCCATGCCACCCCTCTATGGTATGGCGTGTGGTTGGAGAGTAGCAAAATAAACTAGAATGAGAATGACTATCTCGCTCATTTGGTTCTCTCACCCTTTGACGTTTAGGCGTTCAACATGAGGCGCAATTTGAACTCCCCGACTAGAGCTCATTGCCGGGGTCAGTTCCGGACGTCCCGCACCAATCCATTTCAATGCTATGTCCAAGTCCATTTCAAGTTGCCTAGGGTCCCATGTTTATGCAATGCAATTTCCAGTGCTCATTCCGATTCCACTGTTCAATCAACGTTCAATGCTCAAGCCCATTCCAAAGCTCAATCCAATTCCAAGGCTCAGTCCAATTCCAAGGCTCAATCCAATATCTTTTCAAGGCTGAGTCCAATATCTTTTCCAAGGCTAAGTCCAATTCCAAGGCTCAGTCCAATATCTTTTCCAAGACTGAGTCCAATATATTTTCCAAGACTAAGTCCAATATTTTTTCCAAGGTTGAGTCCTATATCTTTTCCAAAGCTCAGTCGAATCTCTTTTCCAAGACTCAACTCAATTATCTTTTCCAAGGTTCAACTCTTCTCAATCTCGGTCATCTCAAGCAGTCATGCAAGGGGACCCCAGTGCCAATTCCAAAGAATGACCCTTGTCACGGACCATTCCGAACAACCTGGTTAGGGTCGTTCTTTCCAATTCCAAGTCGAACAGCCTGGCTAGGGCCATTCTTATCCATTTTCATCAGACAACCTGGTTAGGGCCCTCCTTATCCATTTCAATCGGACAGCCTGGTTAGGGTCATCCTTATCCATTTCAATCGGACAGCCTGGTTAGGGCCATCCTTATCCATTTGAACGTTAGCGCCCAAGGGGGTGGGCCTCGAGGACACGGATCCTATCTCTGTCTCGGAGGTTAAAAGGTGGCCATCTCTTGTGTGTTACGCATGCCTTTGCTTCTCGTGTCGTGCCATTCACCCTCCTTATGTCCATACATACACCCGACTTAGCATCTAGTGCTCAATTTGAGGCTCACAACCCCAAGCAGCACTAGCCCGCCCGACCGTTCAACCATTGCGGAGATTGTTTGCTCAACCAATGTTTTCCTCTTTCTGACCTCTCATGTCTTTTAGTGCTCTGGACTCCACGAAGGTAATTATCAAGCAAGAATAATGCAGAAAATAAGACTAACTGGCTCGAGAAGGGACATTGACAATTGAATGAGGGAAGAATGAGAACTCATAATAATCTAAGAAAGTACATGTGAACAGACATGGTCAGCACCTCTCAAGAGTCCTCACTCATCCCTCAGGTCAGTCTCTCTCAATCTCTTTTCATTGATCTTCTCTGGTGCCGTGACCCACGCCCACGTACAATCTGAGACTGAGGCCTCGTAACAAAAAGCCACCTATAGCCAGCAAGCTCTGAACATGACCATCCAAGGCACATGASACGGYAGTCAACCATGGAGMAGAACTCCTCCCACAAGGTAGGCAGTCCGTCCACTGAAAAGACTCCTCRCCTGAGGTAGGGATACTCGGTAGRCTCGGTTAATGCCTCWRTGTCRATTACCRYAGRAGAKATATATCTCTTTGCCAAAYCGATCACATCCAGCCAACTTGTGTCGTCTGTAAGAAGAGAAGRGACTGGAGGCCTAGGATAGTCAGTATAGAGCATAGGCCCRAAGCTGCGAATCAACGTAGTRCCACTCTCATCAAGMTCCCTCTCTCTCTGCTCAAAATATTCAGTGGCTRAGATYCAGACTGGATCAAAAAMCTCATGAGTCTCCTTGCCCTTCTTCAGGTAAGGCCTCAGATCGTGGATAGTGCCATCTRCAAAACTGGTATGGACAATGAAGATTGACAGATCTCCCTGTCTGMAACCAATGRCACTAACATACTGATAATGRAAAGYCTCTTTGCATGAAATTTTGTTGAGGYTRRCCAGCACWGACTCAYTGACCGGAGTAGACTGAAYWGTGCTCATGAGTACTCTTGCCAGTACAGACTGASCAGATGGTCCTTGAGAACTGGCTGCCAAACTGACCGCAKGGAASTGATTGYCRGAACTGATTGCTAGACGCTGATCACTAGCAACTGACTGCTGATGATTGATTGTTGATTAAATGATTGTTGAATGTCCAAATAAGTGAACTGTCCTTGCACAGAAAACAAAACTCTCACGGTCGGTTGCCAACAGTCCTCCTCGCCTCCTCAACAGTACCCTCAGAAGTCATGATGGCACATAACTTTCCATCGCTGTCGTGCAGAAAGTATGTGTACTCGATTTTTGTAT